AACCCCTCAGCTAAAGCTGTTTGGGGAATAAGCATATATATATATATATATATATATATGTACGTGCTGTTTTTGTGTGTATATGTATGTGTATGTGTCTATACAGATGCTGTAAAGCTAGATCGTGTGTTGCTTCTGAATAATTACCATTCCACATCGCAGATGTTTGGCTCAACAACAAACCCTACACCCCCAAACGCTATAAGCCTTAAACACCAATCCAAACCAAAGGGGAACAAGTGCCAGTGCCAGGCATTGAGACGATGCGGCAGCGATTCCCTCTCAGCAGAGCCTTGTGAAATTCTTACCAGCGAGATGCGGAATCTAAACAGCATGCAATTTGGCGCATAGGCACAAAGGTCGACATTGCAAATTTGTGATAAGAAATCTTCCCCCCGCATCACAACACGTCTAGGGTTGTTCATACCATCCCATGGCCATGGATTTCTGCCTGCGGGAAAATCTGCGAGAGCCTGGCTTGGTGTTCAAAGAGATCCAGGTGCTCGAAGACAGCGACGAGGAGGGCAAGTCATGGGGCCACAGGAGGTGTCGTGCCAAGTTGACCTTCAAGCCGACTGGAATCGTTCTGGGCAAGTTCCTCAGGCTCTGCTGCGATCTGGACCCATTCAACCCAGGCAATGGGCACCGCTCTGGCTGGCAAGCACAATACAGGGTCCTTGCCAGTGGAGGCCTCCAGATTTTCGACTTCGCTGACCTTGCCGCTCGGTTTGACTCTGGACGACAACAAGAGAAGCAAGGGTAGCTGCGATTAAAGCGAGCAGCAGCCAATACCTCACAATAGAAAAACAGCATTGATGGTAGATACCTCAAAACACAAACGTGCCCTGAGCTTCCTGCAGGACTTCGAGCTACAGCGCAGGGAGTATCTGTGAGTATTCCTCAAATTTAGGTGCAATCCATATGTATTTATATACATATATATGTATGTATGGATGTATGTATGTATGTATGTATGTATGTATGTATGTACGTAGGTAATGTATGTATGTATGTATGTATGTACGTATGTATGTATGTATGTATGTATGTATGTATGTATGTATGTGTATGTATATTACATATATATATATATATATGATTTTAGAAGCACAGGGTGCCGCCACATCCTCTGGTAGGTATAGGAAGCCATTTATTGTTGGACTCGAAAATATTGACCCAAATAGAGATTCGTATTTTGGAGAACCTCCCGTCTGCCTAATTTTGCATGCAGAAATTGAGATTGTTGAGGTGCCGGGGAACGGGACTTCAGCGAATTTCCTCTGGAGCCGAAGGCAGGGTGTGGATGCCCTTGTTAGGCTCATGGCTAGCGGCTAGCTTATATTTGCTTGAAAAGGGCGCCCTGGTGCAAGGAGCGCAGGGGTTCGCAGATGACAAGCAGAAAGGTCGGATCTGGCGATGAGCCAAGCCGATTGGAGGCAGCCAAGGCGATCGCGCAAACGGAGCATCGCCCCAGTGTCTTCCACGAGCTGGACTATGATGTGCTCATGTCCCTTAGTTCGGCACCAGCAAGGCTTGCAATTCGATTTGTATTCCGATTTCTGGGACCAAGCCAAGCGTCGCGCTCCCAAGCGGCGTGCGTTGTTAAGTCCCAAATCGAGAATGTCGCACCAGCCTGGTCCGAAATTCTGACACTGCCGCTGCCGCTGAACAAACCCCCCTGAAGAGCACGGCGAAGTCAGGTCCACCCATGGGGACGAACGTGAGCGTAAAAGATACAAGCGTGTTTTGGCTGCATGTTTGGACGCTGGGTTAAAGCCTTCGCCAGTGAAGTGGTTTACTTATGCAGGTACGAAGGTCTCCAGGGGGGAGTCAGGCTCCGCTTTCCTGGCGATCGCAGCCCAATCCGGGAAAGGCGCCTCTATAGGTTTGCACAAAACAAGGCCTCCTTGCCGACTTGCTAGTTGAGGCTCTCAGGGTTGGCCAGGCGAGCTCCAATCACAGTGTAAAAAGGGTGTTGCTATGTGGAGCACCCAGCTGAGCTGAGGTGCCAGTGCTGAGGGAAGTCTCTTTGCTGGCCTTCACTTCCCATGCTCCGTTTTCGCAAACGGAACCTAGGATTTGCTTCAGTGTCATTCAGTGTCAGCAACGGCCCCCCTAAACCCTACAGTAAACCCTAAACCTACCCCATGTTCCTCAAGCCAACCTGGATTTGCTTCCAGCTCCAAGGAAGGATGGAGATCGCACCAAAGTGCTACAAGCTGAAGCAGAGCCACCTCTCAGCCACTCGCTGGGAATGTTTGCAGTTCGATATCCATCTCTTAGCTTCGTCTTTCAAAACTACTTCACAATCATTCAAGCTGCGGAGCGAGTAGCACAAGCGCACATATACCTGCTGATTACAGAGAAGTGCGAGCCGAGTAGCAAACGCCGCTCGGAAAACAATGCTCACGATGCCACATCAGGCAGTGGGCTGCTGGCCGAGATGCACATATGTCACATATGCAGCCACGGGGCAGCAATTAACCTCGAATGCCATCCAGAGCTCCGGCTCAACATCCGCCAGGCGAGGATGCAAGCAGGCCACTCTTGAGAGATACTTTCGTGGCACCAGTGCGATGACGAACGAGTCTCTTCCACAACGTACTATGGCTGAACGGTCAGCACATAGCAGCGTCGGCATCATCACCGAACCTGGCGATGACGGCTCAATCCATGCAGATTTGGGGCACGGTGGACCCGATGATGGCGAGCATCTGTCCGAGGAAGAAGACTCAATCAACTCAGATCCCTGGGATGACGAGCTTGATGCGGAGGATTCCATCGAGGAAGACCTGCATGGCATGTTTTCGCCTTCCCTGGGCTTGGGATTGGGGGTGCGAGCTAGTGCCGGCCTGGGTCGTCAACGGGGCTTCCGCGGGTTGCTTCGAGATTCTGCTCCACGATGCTGCTATCATTTGCAGGGACGCTGTAGATTTGGTATCAACTGCGATTTCTCACACGATTACGCAAAGAGGGGGCCCTGTCAGTTTGGGGACCGCTGCTGGCTGGGGCATGGGGACCTCCCAAGCTCCCTTTTGGGACACTTGGGGCACACTGCCACAATGCTGCGTTAGGCCATTGTCATTGTGGCGTTCAGATAGCACCTGAGGCAGCAAAACAGAAGCTGAACAGGGCGTGCTGGGTGTTTAGAGGCATTAGCCAGGGTTGAAAAAGGATCGTTGGTGGACTTCTGCCATCTGCACTTGGTTTCAAGGCACATGCATCACGTTCTCAGCTATCAACAGAGTCGTTGGAGACTGAGAGGCATCTGTCTTTTCAGCGTAAATGCCTTCGAAGTTGGATCATGTGAGTGCCGTATATGTTGCCTAGCAGCAAATTCCTTGCCGCTTGGAGTTTCTGACCATCTGGGTGTTCCAGGGTACCCGGAAAGCCTAGGCGATTGTTGTGGGTTGCAGAAGAACGCAGAGGTTTATGTAAGGACTGTCTCAGAGCTCTTGTTAAGCCAGCCGCAATCCAAAGCACACGGTTCTTTGCTCGCACAGAGTGCGAAGTATTCAGGTCAGGTGTCAAGGCGGGGAACATGATCCACGACCAGGGTCCATACAACACATGCTCACTATCATTATGGAGTCGTGTCGGGGACCTGAATCTCAAGTGGAAAAAATACTGTCGGCTTGAGGCCTGAGGCTAGCGAGCGATGGCTGTAACTTCTTCGCTCCTAGTTAAATTTTCTTGTCATCCTCATGAATCCATGGGCCCTCTTTTTAGTTCTGGGGATCCCGAGGTTATGCGGCCTTCACCAGGAAATTACGGTTGATCACCTCCCACAAGCCACGAGAACCGTATGCGAAGTTGCGCATGGGTGTTGCTTGCGATACCTATGTTTCTACTGCAATTCCGTGCTTCTACTGCAATTCCGTGTATGTACACACCTTCATGGGTTCTTGAATCGAACGGAGCCTTCGTACATGGAAGGTCGGCTTTCGAATCACATCCTGGGAGAGAAGCACATCTTGCATGTGGTGTTTTGGCAGCTATTCTCGAGGCCGGACCAAGTTGGGCGAGATGCACCCGGAGACACTGACGTCGATGCACAGTTTGGGGAGTTTGCTGCAGGCTGGCGGGGTACAAGGCAATACTAAAAAATTATGTCTTCACGATACATCGGCATATCGGCCCCTGTTCGGAGAATCTGGACATTCATCGAAGCGAAGATTTCAGCGCAGGGGGCGACGGATTAGGTGTTGCTTGGTAACAGTATGACGAGATGAAAGCCATCGCAGAGCCTTGCTCGAGTAGCATGCATCTAGATCCCAGCGCGTCAACAATGCAGGAAAGAGGACACTTGGAGGAGGCAGAGAAGCTCCAACACCGCGTGTTGGAGTCCAGCCGTTCCCTTAAGATTTTCATGCTCGGGGTTGATTCTGGGTGCGGACTGCGTGGGGCAGATCCAGACTCTAACATGCCTTTCCCGTCTTGTTTTCGGAGCGACACTGGCCGTAGCCTGGAGCAGGATACCTTCTGGTTTGCTGTTGCTTGTTTTCTGAAGCCGGCTGCAACAAGGGATTGGTGTTTCTTGGACTTGGAAGAGGGCGTGGATGAAAGGACGGGCCTGATGAGGAGGGAACAGGTTGTGTTCAGGGCCACCAGCATGGTCAAGGATCTGGCCGGGTTCCGGAAGGCAATAAGCCCTACACCCTCGCTCCTCCTCTCTGGGAGCCATCCGGCTCCAAACGTCGCAGGAACGCGGCAGCGAGGGGTAAGCCGAAAAGCTCCGCTCCACGCTCCCTCAAGAGGCCAGGGGCGGACGAAGGTTCGGGATTAATAGGGTTCATACAGGGTTTAGGGTATACTTATATATATATATATATATATATAGATAGTTTTTTTTGTAGGGTTTAGGGTTTTTAGGGTGTAGGTTTTTTCGGTTTAGGGTTTTAGGGTTTCGGGTTCGACAGGCTCTTCCGTGCTTCAGATGTCTCGATGCTTAGGGTATCTGCTACGAGTGCGGCAGCTCTGAGAACCAGGCGGCATGTACAAGTCCGTGCCAAAGGGTTAAGGGTTTATAGGGCTTCAGATGGCTTCAGTGTTTTGAGTGTTTGGACTTTGTGGGTGAGGGTGTCTGGTGCCGTGTGCTCACAAGTCCGTGCACAAACAGGGGCTTAGACGTCAGGGTGAATCGTATATCTCTGTCCGTTGGCATGGTTGCATGGCTAGCTCTGTGAGTCTTCAGTGCAGACGGCATCCTTCGATGCTGGGGTTGGGAGGTCGCGGGCGTCGCGATGCAGACCAAGACTCCGCACAAGCAACTTTCCGTGACCCCAAGCGAACCTGGGAGCCCGAATCGCCACAAGCAGGGAGTGTGAACTTGGTACGATACGTAAAAATTCTGCACAGTGCTAATCCTTTGCGCTCCGCAGGGGCTTTGCAGCGTCCTGTCGTTACGGGCGGGTCCTCCCAAGCGAAGCCTGGCACGAAGGGCAGCTGCAGGTCTCGCAGCTACTCGTTGAATCCAAAGCAGCTCCACCTGTGCATGTCTGTAAAGGAGCTGGCCGAGAAAACCCGACACTCAATCTTCAAACGAGTTCGATATTGGGACTTTGCAAGGAGGAGTTTTACATATGACGGCCCTAACACAACAAGTTGCCGGATTTCCGCAGGTATCTTGGAGGCCGAGCGCGGCCAGACCCAGTGACCGCAAGTAAGTAGCACCCGGCAAGTTTGAGAAGCACTGCTAGTGCCGTACAGGTGGGAGTTTCCGAAAGTAAGGGGTCCTTATTTAGGGGTATTTCTACTAAGGATCCTACTATTTAGGGTGCCATATTAGGGTCCCCTAGTTTCGGAACCCCCAGCTTGCAATGGATGGAGTTTAGACCCAAGCATTTGGGACATCAGGGGCCTTGCGGCAGTCAGATGGGCCCTGGATGTCCAGTGCAGTGATGGCTCGACACATCAAAGTCTGGTGCTGACCCGAGGGCGAAAGAAAGACTTGGGCGCGCCTGACCCGAGAGTTTGGGGTCCACCCGGTTCAGGGGTTCAACATGAGGATCATCACTCATGCGGCCATGTGTGTTGTTCTTTGCTTCTGTATCTCAGTTGGAGTTTGTTGAGATGCCGGTTACGCTGACAGGACGCTTTCGTTGTCGGTGATTGTCATGACTGGAAGTAGCTCGGGGGAAGCGAATGCAAAGGCTCGACCATGAAGCGTTCCGACGTCAGACACTTCCAACCGTGCTTCAGGGTCGAGGGCACAGCCCCCCTGCAGGGAGCCGTCCAAGCCGAAGCGACCTACAACGACCTGACATCTGTCGACCTTGAGGTATTGGTGGGAAAACTACGAGAACACCGCACGTGATATCAGATAAAAGGCGGACAACCTCTGGTTTCTCACCAACAGACTCAGTATAGACCTCACCCTAAAGATCTACGCGAATCTACTTATTAGGCTCCCGTTTGAGCCCTCCGCCCGTGATCTTTCACCTGATGCTCTCTGCGATGACGGCCTTTCCGCTGTCCGGCCACGTTGGGCCTCAAGAAGCGCGGGCCTCGGCAAAGAGCCTCCTAATATCGCAGCAACCCGTGAGTTGGGCAGACGGACAAACTCGCTGAGAGATTCGGGGTTGATGGATCATGCCACAAGGCGGTAGGTGGGCATCTCATGGCATCTCGATTTGTGGTCTCCTTGCATTATTGTTTTCCGTGCATGTATTTGCACGAGAAGTTCGCGAGAGCATAGCTGTTGAACCTGTTCCCTGGCAACACATACTGCTATGACATCTCAGCATGGTTTGGGCCTCGCAGAACGCAACCTATCTACGGAGACCATGGGTCTACATGAATACAGGTCACCCTCATCCCTTATCGCCCGATGGATTCCGGAGCAAGGCATGCCAGGTTCAAACCATCCAAAGGCCTTAGCAGACTTCCAGGCTGAAGCTTAATCGGTTGTAGCTTTTTTCGTTTAGGGCTCGGTCGGGCGTTTTCAGGGGTCTATAGGTCGAGGGTTCGAGAAGGGCTTGTGGGGTTTTAGGCCCGAGGTACTTGGGATTCAGGTTCGGCGTAAGAGGCTTGACCTAGCTGGGCAGGGAGAGCTTTCGTGGGCGAGGCGAGTCTCAGCTAACGAAGTTTCGAGTTCGGACCGAGGGTCAGCAGGTGAGGAGTGAATGAGGCCCAGTGACCGAATGCAGGATAAAATCGCACATTACAAAAGTTCTAAGTAACGCTAACACAAAATATGACATAAAGCAACTCTTCAGCACATAATGAAATCTGGGCGTTCTTGCCTTCGAGGTGCCGTGAAGTGGCGATGGGTGGCGGAGCCGGGTCCCTAGCAGGACAAAAGCAGCAAGCTTGAACGTGTGAGTGTGTCGAGACCACCTTCTCAAAGGCCACAAAGTCTTTGAGTGAAGTATGGGCCAAGTATGGGCTTTGCAGTTCTTTTTTTTGGGAGCCAGGTGGTCTCCTTAGTATACTACTTCGTGACTCCCGTCAAACAGCAACTTTGAGAGCTTCCTCCCAAGTCTCCGGTTCCTCAGGTCTTAAGGTGCTGAAAGGGACTGCTATCATGCCAGACCCCATTCGGGGCTTTAGTTAGCCGAACCCCACGCATATCTTGAGAATCCAGATCAGTAGCGTTAACAAGCAATGCAGGCCAGCGCGGCTGCTTCGGCCGAGGTGGCCTCAGTCAGTGGGTTCCCGAAGCCGCAAATCCTAAAGCCTACTCTGTCCATTCCCTATGATAGTTCCTGAAGGTCCCTTATAGTAGTCCCTAACACCCATTCCCCCATTCCCTATTAGGCACCAGACAGTACTGCAAAATTCGGCAAGTGAAGGGAGGGATCACAAAGACGGAAAGGGCTCGGAGTGGAAGCTGCTGCCAGGCCGACCCCGCAGTGACCGAGGCCATGACTTCAGTAAGATTCGGGAGCTTGAGGCTTTGATTTACTAAACTCTAGTTTAGGGTTTAGGGTTTGAGGATCTAGGGTAGCTCCGGTCCACTTGGGAGGTTGGATTCGGTTTCGAGATTGAGAATTCTTTGTCTCGCAGACCTCATAGAGCTTGCGGGGAAAATTGCGTGTGAAGGCTTAGCTAGGATTCGTTGTGCGTGAACTTACCTTAGCATATGCGCAACCCTTGGATGTGGCGCGCACACACACACACACACCCGTTGTACGAAGTTCAATGTTGGGTGACTCCCACGCTTTAAGGTTTCGGGTTTTTTGGAACACAGCGTTCCGGGTTCGTATGTGTTGAGAGGACGGGGTGAAAGGCGGCATGACATGGTGAGCATAGACTTAGACCTGCTTCAGCAAAGATTGATGGCTCTGGGATATGGGAGAAGGCCTCGCTGCTTAAGAACCTCGATGGATCTGAAGGATGAGAGTCGGCTGTTTCTGAAGCAGGGCTCGGTAGGAGTTTGAGGCTCAGGGCTTGGAGGCTGTTCGGAGCGTGTGGTGCTTAGAGGCTCGGGGGGTTCGCAGGCTTGACCGGGGCACGGTTCGAGTGCATTCTGAGCACTTTACCGGCCAGATGGGCCTGGAGATGGGTAAGTTGCAGCCACATGATTTTTTGGTACCTTGCAGCTTTGAATTACTTTTCAAGCATGTTGCTATAGTTCGAGCATCTCGTGCACCATGCTCGAGTCCACATCATGCCGTTCTCACACCCCGGTACCAGCCCCCTTGCTCTCGGCAGTCTTGTGCAGCAAGTTGCTCGCGAAAGGGCATCGGGTCGGGGAGAGTTTCGGCTCACGGAGTATCTTCGACGGCTTAGTATCTTAAGACCGGTTCTGTTTCTGCTTGCAAGGCCCTCGGCCGCGGAGAGCTGACGAAGTATTTCCTTGGCCCGTACTTAGACGGTGCGAGCCTTACCGGCGCGCATGACGCCCGCATTGGGATACATAGCTTGGCGTGAGTGCAACTCCCCGGTGTCCATGAGTTGCTAGTTCATATTGCGATTCATGTCGGCAAAAGCTGGTAGTTCAGATTGTCGCAGGGTGCGGATCCGTTCGTCAGCAAAGTACAGGAGCTATCTACAACGATACAAGACAACACGACGATTCTTGTAGAGGACCATGAAGCTAAGGCAAAGTCTACAAAGGGTCGCAATACTCGGAGGGCACGTTGGGCGATTTGCTGACCTTCGACTACCCGGCTCAACATGACGAAGCGGATGAGGAGGAGAATGAGAATGATGATCAAGAAGAAAACGATGATGATGATGCTGCTGATGATGATGAGGCGAAGAATGACGTTGAAGACATCGACGATGAAGACGAGAAGAGTGATGATGCCGGTGGACTTGTGAGTGTGTGGCAGTATGCATTGGACTTGCGCGATGTTCGAAGAGGGTCTGGTCAACAAGACCTTTGTGTGCTTTATCACTATACCCACGAGCTGGCCTTCCGCAATGTGGCCAACATGGAACCGACCACTGCCGAGATTTTCGCGTCACTGGTGGACTCCAGGGCCCACTTTGGGAAAGGCGTTTATTGTACACAGCATGAACCAGCTGCTCTTCGGCGAATATGGTTCGATCTCGGCATGACCATCTAGCCAGCATGTTGTTTGACGGAGAGTAGGAGTAAGGTCACACGGTCTTTTTCTCTTTTTCGCTCAGCATTCGCCAGTTTGCGGTTACCATGCAAGCAGCGAAATCTGCTGCAAGGTATGGGGCTCCCGCACTCGTATTTTGCTGAACAACTACAGCAACTTGAGCCCTTTGCGTCGGGGCCCCGGTTATCGATGCATTTTGCTGGGCTGGAGCTGCTTGGTTTTGGCCACCACTGACCCTAAACCCTAAACCCTAAACCCTAAATCCTAAACCCCTAAACCCTAAACCCTAAACCCGATTAAACTGAGGCGACACAGCAGACGCGGAGTCTCAGCGAGTGGAGCAGGAATGGGGCACCGGCAATGCTGAAGGCCATCGCGCAGCCTTCTGCATTCCGATTCTAGTGCCGAGGGAGCTCGCGTACAACATCTTTGAAGAACAGACGTGCCACGGCCAGCAGTTGAAGATGTCGCGATTCTTTTTTGTTTGGTGCTGCGTACCCACCAGTGGATCGAGTGGAGTATCAGAATCCGCAGTTGCCGCCCTGAGGCGCGACCTCGCCCACAAGAGCGTGCGCGACGTCGAAACAGGAGAGGAGCGCCGGATCCGGCTTGGCGAGGATTACAAAGGGCGGCCTGTAGACCGCAACCGGGATGTTTGGGTTCTACAGGTGGTGAACGAAGCTGGAGAGGTGCAACATGCCGGCGCCGAAGCAGATGGTCTGCTGAGGCTGTTAAGGACTCGCCTAGCAAATCTCCGGGAAGAGCTGGGAGACGATGCAAAGCCAACCCTGGACTGCATGTACGAGCTTGGGAGTAGGCTACATGGCCGCTCCTACCATGACGAAGCAGAGAAGCTTTACGAGGAGTGTTTGGACCGCCGCCGCGGCCTCAGCACTTGCCTCAAGACTAGTACCAGAATCAGGGCGGTACCGGTTTTCTTGGAAACTGGCTAGGTTTCCAGTCAAGTGTCTAGACATGACACAGGCACCTCCCATGTACTAGCCTTTTTGTGATTATGCCATTGTTTGTCATTCCTCCGTCGGGTTGGGGTGCTTCTATCCCGAGGCAGGGCCAAGCTGGGCGAAAGTCACACGGATACTCTGGATTCGATGAACAATCTTGCTTTGCTTCTGGAGGCCCCGGGGGAGCAGTGACGGTGAGAGCTTATCGAGATTAGACATGAAGGCGAAGCAGAGGTGGCTGTGCTATGCTCTGCTTGTGCCCGCTGTTCGTCCACAGCCAACGCACGACGCCAGGACATGGGACGAATTGAGGAGGCCGAGCAGCTGCTTTGCAAAGCGTTGGAGGGCAGCCGCCGTCCCAGCCATTGTTGATGGTTTCGGTTGAGGGTGATTGATGTAGCACGGAAGTGCGCATCAAGTTGAGCAGCGCAGCCAAGCCCTAGATAAATGTCGAATTCATGACTCCGCAGTTTTTGCTGGTATCCAGTATCCAGAGTAGCTGCTCGAAGTTTTTTGTTAGTTCCCACGTGGTGTTTCAATGTCGTCGAATCTCGAGGGGCTGACGTGGATTGTTTGTACCCCCAAGCAAAAGCATCTGATAGCATATGGGACCTGCAGTTTCAGAAAGTGAAGGATCCCAGCTTACGACCTGAGCACAGCAGGATCGTACACAGCGACCCTCAGAAGGATCCCTAAATGCATACAACCTTACCCTTGACATCCCGAGGCCGTACCAAATCTGGCAAGACACATCCAGCAACGCTGGATTCGATGAACAATTTGGCTGTCTTGCTGCAGGACTTGAAGAAGGTTTCGGGCTTGCTGCTTTGGGGAATCGTGGGATTCGGATTCTGTAGCCAATCGCGCGACTGCAGGTGCTAATTTCTCTAGTTAGTGTTGTCTTCCCAGCGCTGACTTCGTTTCGCATATACCTCCCTCTGGCCAATGGCACAGTCGACAGGACCAGGAACGTTTTCAGGAGGCCGAGTCCCTCCATCGCGAAGCGCTGGAGGGTCGCCGAGACCTCAGAGGTGGCTTTGACTTGGACATGTCGGAGTTGTGACTGGCATGTGCGACTCCAGTGGGCAGAAGCTGATACATTGCTAGGTTGGGCAGTCCAAGGGTATTGAGGCTAATTCCATGTCGCAGCCGTGCGTGGTGTATACTCCGCCGTACATACATACGGACAGACAGACAGACATATATATATATATATATATATATATAGAGAGCAGGTTGCTGTGGGGCCTGGGTTTTTGAAACCCCACTTTTTAAGGGATTAGAGATATTTGTGTCGGAAATATCACTACAATAAGTAC